TTGTTGTACAGTTTGTGTATATCACACCTATTAAGGTTTAACAAATACCGCTTTCCACTTGTATTGCTCTGAACTATGTTTAGTGGTTCATTTGCGTTCTTAACTTAAATTCAAAGGTAATGTTGTACCTCTGATACGATTTTAGACCTTGGTTGAAGCCTTTTTAGTTAAGGACAGAATATCTAGAACAAGGACAAAGCCGGTTATTTTCAAGTTCAAGTACGATTATCAAAAAGATTCTTATCACAAGCATAAAAATAAAATAAATTTGTTGGGCAAGAAATTAGAATGGAACAAAATGTCCCGCTGCGAATGCGATTGAAGTGGTTACTCAGTCGCCTAAAATACAATCCAATCATCGGGTAAAGGATATAGAAAATGATGCCAAAGCCTAGGGTATAATAAAATGATTGTTGTTAGTGGGGTTAACTGCTCAATTGCATTTCAGTAAACAACACCATCAAGAAAGTAAATCAAGTCGCACTGGCAGTTGATTTTCACTGTAGACCGTTCTACACATAACAGAGGGAGCACTTCAAAGGGCTAACCTTGCTAAAGTTCTAGTGAGCTGAAAAGTGCATACTTTAGGCTTTCCTCGATGCCGACATTTTAGTGACTGGCCTAAACGTCTTTTCCTTCCCTAAGAGCAAATGTGAGACTACTTGGATCCGTAGAAATCCTCTATCTATTTCGACTGCTTTTACCCCAAACTTTCAAATCGTTTAATTTTCAATTTAATGTTATGTGATTCATTTTTGCGGCACTTAAGCAGTACTTAGCTGTCTGAATCGTTTTGCGAAGACAAGCAATTTAATATTCTACGGCGCGTTTCCGACTTAAAGTCAAATTTTCATTCAATGACACTAGTCATGCAGATATTATAATTTTTCTTAATGCAACTTTTAAATAAATCCCAAGCACAAATGCAAATTTAATAGTGCATTATTTAAATGACTGATCATTGATGTTACCGCTCAATCACTTAAGAGGACCGTGAACATCATTGATGAGTAACTAGTAGAGACGAGCCTAAGAAAGCACGATATACTCCTTTAGTTTAACGTCATTTCATCGTCTCTTATGTTACCGGTTTTAGCTCTTTACACAGATGCCTTTCTATAAGATGAAATCACCTTTTACCGAGCAGCCTGTGCTACTATTTAAATGAGATCAACATTGACCTACATCGTATTAAAGACTTTGATTTGCTATATTATTAGTGCATTGTTTTAATTGCAAATTTTGTAATTTTGTACGGGTAAGTCACTGTCCTAATGGAGCCTAACTTTTGCCCTCAAAACTCGCGTAACACGACAAAGTTGTAGGGATAAATTGTAGATTATTGAGAAGATTCGTTAATGCAAATGGAATTCGGCAAATCATTTAAGGAAGTTAGCGCTGTTAAAAGTCGCTGTAGGTGTCTGTTCTTCAAGCTACTTAAGAGAGACACTCTTCATAAGCCACTCCAAAAATTATTCCTAAGATTGCTATGACCAATTAAAAGCCCTTGCTTCCACTTAACGTTTAATGCAAAAGATGGTATCGACACTTTTTAAATTGCTATTTGCATTTTGTCAGACACTATTCTGCACAATTTGTTCTGAAAGAATGATGTAGACTGTAAAACCACGGGACAGAAATTGTTGAACAGTTGGAGTTATTTACAAGATTTAGAAAGCCAAGAGTGCTTGTGAACTTTGTACTGGCATATCTCAAATGATAAAAATTTCGTCCGATCAGTGATTTGTAAACGTAACTATCAGGTCTAAATTATCAATGGACTTAAAAAAGTAAACCAAAAGTTCTTTACTAAACCCTTTTCTTAAGTATGCCCAGCTCGGCGTCAAAAACCCTTGTTTTATATCCGTCTACATTTGGAGATCAAGCATGCGTTGCCATTTAATTGCTCAAAATCACGTAAATTATTTTTGCAGTAGTTAAAAATGATAAATCATACCATGTTTCCAAAAGCGAGTAATAATTTGCTGGTTTACTAACATTGCTTGAGTAGCAAGATACAAGAGCTGATTCCTCGCAAAAGATGTGGCTTTAATATTTGCCTACTTTTCCTTGCTTTAGCTCATATAAAGTTAACTTCTGAGGACTGTCCGCCTGCCTCTCCTTCATTCAAGCCCTGTTATCTTTGTGTTACAGAGAGCAATTTATGCCTATCAGGGAATTACAAAGTTTGTATTAGTTCTACTATAGAAACCACCATAGACCCCGTCTTTTTCCTTTATGAATGCCAGTGCCCTCATTTCTTCCTTATGAAGAGTAATGTTCTGCATATACACTGCACCAACTGCTCCACGGAATTTGACCATAATATGTAGGCCTATTTCAAAAACTTGGTTTAATTCGATGAACTTAAAAATCTCATAGAAAATGTGTCTATTAGGCAGACACAGTGAGGCTTTTAGACACAAGGTCATCAAGAGCTCCAAAAGCCTCTCAATTTATCAAGGTCACAGGGTTTTATGCACAAAATTTGCGTATAAATGGAGAATGCTTGTGTCATACTTCTGTCTCAATACCTATGCCGCCTCCTCATTACCATCTTCTCTCCTTTGCCTTTATTTGCTCTCTTGCAGGTATTTGGCCTTCCGTTTGAACCATTTCTTTCCGCCTTTCACGGTGTTTAACTTTTTTAGATGCTAACGAGCCTTTAATGTTCCTCAATGACGGTCGTGTGGTGTATGGGAAACTTGGATCCACATTTAAATATCAAACAGTTCTTCCAGGGTTATATGATGTAAGAGATTTGGAGCTTAATCGATCACATAACTTAGCGCGTAGTTTCTGGAATGCACAGTGTGACAATAAAGGATTGGGATTGCTCGACACCGCTTTTTGTGTGCACCATTGAGGAAGGTGTGTTTCTATTTTCACCTACCAAAATTGACATAATAATAAAACAAATGTCTATTCGCCTTGCAACTAGATATGCCGTATCGAAGCGTTGCAACCCTCACCGGAACCATGAATTACGGACTTAAGCGCGTCACCTTCTTCGGCAAGTACTCTATCCCTATCACAATTCTATTCTACACTGATCACTATTGGCCAGAAATGGATGACCGTAAGCATAAATCGAACCACCTCAGCTTTGTGTTTAGACACGTTTCAGTGGCAATACTCTCTTCCTCTCGTTACTTATGCCAAGGACACGGATATTGTAACTTTGTCCGCATACATTCTCCATGTTAGCGCTATTTCTCTTCCAAACGTACGCCTTCTTTCTCAACCCTAGTTTCCTTTCTAAAAGATTAAGGCTTCGTTAACTTCCTTAAATCTCTGCTTCAGTTTACGCTTAGTTACTCGGCATCAAATGAACCGGCATATAAGGAGAATGGGTACAACTACCTTAGAAATTACTCCCACATATTAAACTTAGGTAAGTGATCGGATTTAATCAAAACTGTGAGGCATAGTGTGAGGTAATTTGACTGGTCGCTTTTCACGTTTGTAGAAAAGAACGTATTTTTAATGCACACTATAGTCTCACTAACAGTGAAGAAGGGAGAAGAAGTCGATCATTACTGCTTTGAATACAATGACCAGTATTATACACACACCATTGTTTGGGGTAAATATTTCATTGTATATGCGTTGCTGCTTCTTTGCGGGAACATTGTAACAGCTGACGGGGTTTGAGTAACAAATAGTGTTATCTCATTCTTGCTTAATTTTAGGCAAGTCTTCTCCACTCCGTAAGTTTAGTAATAATCTGCATTAACGATTTATTTGACTTGTCGATTTAAGCAACCCTTCGCATCTTTCAAAGCTAAACCCGACGTTGTAAACGACTTCATCTCCCTACTGCCTATGGAAGAAATCGTAAGCTACTTCTTGGGATCAGCCACCCGTACCAGTATTCTGTCCTCACTTGTGTGGATAGGTAGGTAACTGTTGTTAAGAAACGACTCCTCCTTGACCTTCATTTATCTTTTTAGTCATCACTCTTTGTGTCACCATAACATGATTCATCCAAGAGGAGTCTCGGATGCACTGCAATCATTATTACAATAAAATGGATTCACAAAACAAGACAATCAAAGAGTCCGTTTCGTGATCGCCTAGTTTATTCACTTGTCTTTAAAGAGAACTGCTATATTTGATCAATGAGTACAGCAGCATGGAGAAATAAATCAACTCCACTCAAGACTTAAGCATTTAATTGACTAAGGGCTTTCTCCGCAAAAGAGCGGGGTAAAATCTAGCCTTGACGATGCATAATTTTTGACAGTTATCCAAAAATAGAGGAAAAAAACTTAAATGATTTTACCAGTTGCAGCTATCTCCTCCAATGCTGCCCCAAAATATTAATTAAACGATCACAATTAACTGTTGTGCAGGCATTGGCTGTTTTATAAAATGGCTTGGTGATTTAATTGCCCGAAACATTTGATTGAAGTGAAATATATTCTTGTTTTGAGATCTATGTTGTCCGAAATTTTTGGTTACTGGCATACAACGAATTCGTTATTCCTGTATATTCGTATTTTAGTATCCAGGTGGAAATTTTTTTCAATAGTATAGTTTTAAAGGGTCAAAATTCGAAGTCAACTGTGA